ACCACCACCAAGAGAAAAACTAAATAGTGTGGCGGTGGAAAAGGTTGACGATGCCGAGCCCCCCGGGCGCTGAGAAACACCTCTGCGCCACACACCGTGCCCAGACCCTGTGTGCGCACAGGGCGTCCCTCCTACATCTTGGGCCGCTGTTTCTCAGGCCTCGCTTCCCTTCTGCTGCGTCCGCCGTGGTCACCGCTGTGCCTTCTCTTCTTCCCCAAATGTTTCTGCATCTCCAGCAGAGGGTCCAGGCGGTTCTTGACCTTCACATCTGGTCCTGGGCCGGGCGGGGGCGCCCCTCGCTCTGGGGGCAGCTGGTACCAAGGGGGCTGAGTCTGGGCTTCTGCTGCGCTCTGGCCCAGGTACGTCAGGATGCCCAGAGCTTTCTCCTGCTTCTCCTGAGGGGACAGGAAACCAGTAGGTGGTCAAGTGTGTCTCCCCGCAGGAAGCCCTGGGTGTGGTAACACGGACACCCATGGCTGGGAGGGCGGAACCCGTCGTTCAGCCAAGTGTTGAGGGCCTGTCATGAGCCAACTCTGCTACGTGCTGGAGACACAGGAGACCAACACAGGTGGGATCCTGCACCGGGCGCAGTGGCGGCTCTAACGGAAAGCACGGGGAGGGGGAGGCACTTGGAGGACAGAAATCTGAACAAGCAAGCCAGGCAGAGAAGTGGCTGAGGCAGGGGGAGGACACGTTCATCCCTGAGGGCAGGCGAGTGACAGGACCTGACTTCATTTTACAAAGCTCAGATCCCTTCCCGGTCTTGACATCAGGTCTGTGCCTGCAGCTTCAGGCCTGGGGTGGGGTGGGGTGGCGGGAGTGACCAGCTTCCACTCCCAAGCCTCCTCGGCCTGGAGGGCTACGACCAGAACTCCCTGCGCCCGCCCCGTTCAGTCTGTTCTGAGTCTCCATTAGCTCACTTGGTCCCCACCTGTCCCAGGCACCCGAGGGCAGAGTGCCCCTCCCCCCAGCTCCCTGCCTGACATGAGTGAGTGAGGCCGGCTTACCTTCTCCTGTCGCTTTTCTTCCTCATACTCTTTGTTGCTCCCGGTCACCCCTTTCCCCTCCTCCAGCAGCTCCCGAAACAGGTCCACAGGGCCAGAACTCGGGGCCCCCACATCTGCTGCTTCGAGCTCCGGTAGCGAGTTCCGATGCCTGGCTTTCTTCCGCAGGAATTCTGTGCGGGCCTGGGGGGGGGGGGGGGCAGAAAGTTATGGGCAGAACGTTCAGAACCCGGATGTGATCAGAGGAACTGCGAGTGTGGTGCTGCCACAGAGAATTGTGCTGAGGGCCCAGAAGAGGCACCTTCCAGCCTGGGGAGGAGGGGAAATGAGGCTGGTTTGTAAGATGCCCCCTACCTAAGATGCCTTTCAACCACATGCCAGAGGGTTTCCCAGTCTCAGTGACACAACAGATAACCATGGAGGCAGCCAAAACATCAGGACAGGCGATCTGAGTTCCAGGCAGGGCTCCAAATCACCGCCCAAGTCGAACTTTTAATTTTTTTAACACAGAAAGGGAGAGAGATACCTTGATTTTTTAACTATATTTTTTATTTTAGAGAGGGAGAGAAACATTGATTGGCTGCCTCCTCCAGGCACCACACTGGGGATCGAGCCCGCTTGACTGGAATCGAAGCCGGGACCCTTCAAGTCTGCAGCCCGACGCCTATCCACTGAGCAAACCAGCCAAGGCGGGATACAGCGATGTGTTGTTCCACTCACCTATGCATTCACTGGTGGTTACTTGTATGCGCCCTGGTTGGGGATCGCACCCACAACCTTGGCATATGGGTGACAACGCTGTAACCAACTGAGCTACCTGGCCGGCTCCCAGTCGGTTTCCAATCTCTACTGACACGTGAATTTAAAAAGCCCAGGCTACCTCCTAGCCAGCGCTGAGGACCACCAGGTGTGCACCGGACAGGCGAAGGAGCTACACAGGGAGCGCGTCTGTTGTGTGGGGGTGGGGGGTGGACGGGCAGTGCAAAGGCTCCCCACGGAGAGGCCTTGGCTCGCGCCCGTCACTCCGGCGCGGCGTCCTCTGCCCTCTGCTCCGGGGGGCTGATGGCAGCGCCCCTCCGACCACCACCCGAGCTGCAGGGATGTCGCGAGTGGAGCGCTCTGCGCGGGACGGGCATCCAGAAGGCGCTCAATAAACACACTACAAGCAAACTAAAGAGTGGCCCGAGCTTCCTGGAACTGCTCGGGGGTTCCTTTATTCATACGCCCCTGCTCTGTGCCCGGCAGCGCTTCGGCCTCGCGAACAAGAGCCGAGGAAACAAGACCGAGGAAGGTTCCGCGGCTCTCAACGCGCGGGCGTCCAATTCCGCGCGGGACGCACTTCGCCTGCGCGCCACCTCCACTTCCGGTCCCTACCGCGGCGCCTGCGCGCTGGGCCCAGGGGCCCGCCCGGCCGCTTTCGGAGCCTACCTCTTGCTGAGCGAGCAGCACCCTCCGTTCGCGCTCTTTCTCCTCCTCCCGGGCCTGGGCCTCATCGCGCCGCACGCGGGCGACATTGTCCTTGTTCCGGACGTGCCAGCTCTTCTTGGGCAAGATGTTCATGGCGCCGTGACGTCCACAGACTGGCAGGCGCGCCCCCTAGCACTTCCGATTGGCGAGAGGATGCCCCGCCCTATCATACCTGCCCCAGCCACGGATTGGTCCTGGATTCACTGACACGCCCCGCCTCCCAACGCCTCGAATCATGCGTGCTGTCGCCTAGCGACCGCCGCGCGTCAACGCCCTGAGCCAATCACAGTGTCTCCACTTTTGACGCTAAACGGACGCGGCCTCTGACTGGCTGGCACGCCGTCAGGGCCAATACATGTGATTGGCTTGTGCCGCGGAAGCCTTGCCCCGGCTTCCGCTCGCCAGTTTCAAAGAGCGCTCGGCTGACTCCGCTGTGTTTATTGATACAAGAATGGGGTTCCCTGGACAGTCAGGGGTGCGGGGCCCCGGAAATCTCAGAATCCCAGGGCCGGAAGGAAGGACGGTCCTCTCCATTCTCTCATTTTACAGATGACGTGGCCGAGGCTTACAAAGGTTCGGGGGCAGGTCTGGGTCTGAGCCAGGCTGGGGAGGTCAAAGGGCCCCGTGGTCCGAGCTCAGCGCCACGGCGCGCTGTGCCAGGAAGACCTTGTTCCGCGCCTCCTGAGATAAAGGGTGAAGAGAGGTGGAGGTGAGGCAGCTGCTCTCCCCCAGGTCCTTGTCTCCGCTCCCCAGGACCCCTGCCCAGGGACCCGGCCTGGCTCACCTTCTCTACCTGCCGTTTGAGCTCCGAGATGAGGCCTCCATAGGAGTTGGCCAGGGCCAGGGTATAGGCCATCAGGATGCTGGAGGCGACAAGAATCAGAGCCACTCCCTGAAGGCTCTTAGAATAGCTTCAATGTGTGGGTCCCCCGCCCTTCCTTCAGACCAGGAGTTTGTGGCTCCACCCCCTCCTCCCTCGTTCAGTTTAGGCCCCCCCCAGCCCCCCTCGTCACCTGGACGCAGGCAGCGGGGCGCCCCGATCACACACATTCAAACTGAAAAAAAAAAAAAAAAGAGTCCGGGCCCCTCACCTGGAGATCAGCAGAAGGGGCACAGCAAAAGCTTGGGTCCCCAGGAAGAAGAGGAAGTCCTGGGTGATCTGAGGGAGTCTGGAAATCGACTCCGGGATCTGGTCCCAGATGAACAGCTGCCCCCGGAATGGACCGCACAGCTTAGAGGGCGGGATCCTGCCGTCGGAGACAGGAAGAGTTCGAGGATGGCCGAGAGTCGGGACCCCGGGTGAGGGCGGCGGGGTCAGGGAGGCAGGCGCCTGCCTCCCACACTCACCGGAAGATGCTGTAAAGCACAGGGATGGCGGAGATGGCCAGCCCCAGGAGGAGGACCATGGGGAAGAAGAAGTTCGCCGTGGAGGCCCGGAAGGTGCGGGAGGCCGGGGAGCAGGTGGAGAAGAGGGTGAGCTGACAAGGGAAGAAGGGGGTCTGAGGCGCCGGCGTCTGAACTCTCTAGTCTGTCTGTTTTCCCCACCCAGGAGTCCTGGTGCCTGGCCCCTCCTCACTCAGGATCCAGGAATCGGGTCCCCTCTTCCCTCAGACCTAATCGTTGGGGTGCCCTAGACCCCCTCCTCCCACATCCAGGAATCAGTCCTGCAGACAGACCCCTCCTCTCTCAGGATCCAGGAGTCTGGGACCTTAGCATCCTCCTCCTAGGACCCAGTCACATCCCTCCGTCCCTTCCCCCCCCCCCCTTCCTCCCCATCTCCAACTCCAGGCGGGTGCCCCCCACCCGCCCCTCACCTTCTTCAGGTAGAAGAGCAGCAGGAACTTGGCCGTGTTGAGCAGGGGCAGTAGAGGGCAGAAAAAACTCCCCACCCAGACCACTGTCTGCGCGTAGACGAGCCCCAGCACCTCGTCGGGCACCTGGAACTCCTGGGTCCCCAGCCGACCCAGCGGCCCGGGACACAGACCACAGAGCAGCCTGAGGGGCGGGGCGGGGCGGGGCGGAGTCAGAGGCGTGCCAGCCAGGGGTTTCCCCGCCTCCACCGTTGTGCTCACCAATCAGAAGTGAGCCTATCTGAGGGGCGGGGCCGTCAAGGTCCTGGAGGGGTGTGTTCAGGGGGCGGGGCCAAAGGGAGTAACTACCTATCACGTGGAAGGGGCGGGGTCTTCGGAGTTAGAGCAAAGAAAGGGAGCAGTCCGAGGCGGGATCGGAAAGGGGCGTGGCCTGTTCTAAAAGGGGGCGGGGCCACAGCGGGGGCGGGGCTCTCACTTCTGCGGGAACTGGATGAGCAGCATGATGGCCAGGCCAGTCAGCAGGTCAAAGATCAGGAGTTTGTACATCTCCTGCCCCAGCCGAGTCTCCCAGCACTAAGGGCGGAAGAAAGGGGTGAGGATGCCCACAGGACCCGGGCACCAAGCGTATGAGAGACTTCCTCCGGGGGCCTTCAGTTTTGGGGGGGCACCCGTACCCCAGTCCTCGGGCGACGGCGTTCTGGCACCCCAGCCCCTCGTCCTCCCAAACCTGGGGTCCCAGCCCCTCATCCTCCTCACCGGAAGTTCTTTGTAATTGTAGCCACAGTCTTTGCACTTTTCGGCCTTTGCATTGCCTCCGCACGTGATCTGATTCCAGAGAGAAAAGAGCAGGACCAGCAGGGAAGCCAGGCGGAGAAACACGGTCCTGGCCGGGGAGAGGAGGCGGGGTCAGCCCGGGCCGAGTGCCGAACCCTCCTGCGCGGACAGGACTCCCCAGTCTCCCCGTTTTACAGATGAAGAAACGGAGGCTCGCCCTGGCCGGTGTGGCTCGGTGGATAGAGCGTCGGCCTGCGGACTGAAGGGTCCCGGGTTCGATACTGGTCAAGGGCACATGCCTGGGTTGCGGGCTCAATCCCTAGTGGGGGGGGGGGTGCAGGAGGCAGCCGATCGATGATTCTCTCTCATCATTGATGTTTCTATCTTTCTCTCCCTCTTCCTTCCTCTCTGAAATCAATAAAAAAAAATTAATTTTTTTTTAAAAAAGAGCTTTGGTGTAACCGGTTTGGCTCAGTGGATAGAGCGTCGGCCTGCGGACTAGAGGGTCCCAGGCTGGATTCAGGCCAAGGGCATGTACCTTGTTTTCGGGCACATCCCCAGTAGGGGGCGTGCAGGAGGCAGCTCATCGATGCTTCTCTCTCATCGATGTTTCTAACTCTCTATCCCTCTCCCTCTCTGTAAAAAAATCAATAAAATATATTTTAAAAATAAAAAAGAAGAGCTTTAAAAAAAAAAAGAAACAGAGGCTCAGTGACAAGGAGCCGGGGTTGAACCCAGATCTCACTCCCTGGACCCCACTCGCGGCGCCGGGACTTGTCCGCCCCCCCTGTCCCCCGCCCCCCGACAGCCGCCCCCGCAGGCTGGAACCTGAGCAGGATTAGAACAATCTGGCGGCTCCGGGTGTAGCCCTCCAGCCGGGTGATGAGCTTGAAGATGAGCTTGAACACGGGCGGCAGACCCCGGAGATGAAGATGAAGATGGACGGTAGGTAATCCACCCCGAGCTGGAGCAGCTGCGTCCGGCTGACAAGGGGCAACTTCTGGGAGGGAAAGGGGGCCGCGAGGAGAGGCTGGGAGGAGCCTCCACGCTGGAGGGGGTTCCCCGGCCTCTTCCTTCTGCACCCCAAAGTCTGAGCTCCAAACCCAAGCCGCCACCCTCCTCCCTAAGATCTCAGGCGTCATAGGCCTCAGTCCCCTCCGCCCTTGGAAATGTAGGTTCCAGGACCCCCCACCCCCCTCCCCGGACCCCTGCACACCTTCAGCTCCGTGGTGGACCCCGTAGCCCAGTAGACGCCGTAGAAGGCCGCCCCCAGGAGCGCCGCCACCAGCAGGTTGAGCAGCAGCCGCACCGCCCACACCCGGGCCTGCTGGCCCAGCGTCCGCACCGCCGCCTGGCGCCGCACCTGCGCCTCCTCCAGCTCCACCTGGACCGCGAGACAGTCCCCTGGGGCGCCGGTTCCCAGGCCCAGCCCGCCGCCTACTGCCCCGGCTCCACTACGAGGGAGGCAGCAACACCCCGCCCAGGACTGCTGTCACCTTGTCCTCGGCCTCTCCAGGGGGCAATTCATTTATTTTTTAATATATTTTATTGATTTTTTTACAGAGAGGAAGGGAGAGGGATAGAGAGCTAGAAACATCGATGAGAGAGAAACATCGATCAGCTGCCTCCTGCACGCCCCCTACTGGGGATGTGCCCACAACCCAGGTACATGCCCTCGACCGGAATCGAACCCGGGACCCTTGAGTCCGCAGGCCGACGCTCTATCCACTGAGCCAAACCGGTTAGGGCGGTCAGGGCTATTTTTAAATGTTTTTTTTTTATTGATTTCAGAGAGAGGGAGAGAGAAACATCACTGATGAGAGAAAATCATTGACCGGCTGCCTCCTGCACGCCCCACACTGGGGATCGAGCCGGCAACCCGGACACTTGCCCCAACCGGGAATCAAACCGTGACCTCCTGGTTCATAGGTTGACGCTCAACCGCTGAGCCGCACCTGCCCGGCTCCAGGTGACAATTTAGATCTCCTGGCCCCGCCCCCCGAGGCCACACCCAGTGCTCCCCCAGGTACAAGTTCCAGCTCAACTTCATCCAGCCATTCCCGGCCACTCCCTCCTCAGCTCTGAGCCCAGCAGCTCCAGGCCCCCCGTCTCTCTGCTACAGCGAGCGCGTCCCCTTATCCTTTGGCCTCAGGCCGCACCTCGGCCTCCTCTGATGCCATTCATTCCCCAAGGCCCGCCCCGTCCAGCATCTCCCCTGAAGTCCCCTCGGGAGGCCCAGGCCCCGCCCTCCCCGGTCCCGGGCTGCAGGCCCCGCCCCCGGAGCGCACCTGCAGCTCGTATCGGATGCGGCGTCTGCGCAGCTGCACGTGGACCTCCCCGCGGAGGCCGAAGTCCCAGGCGGAGAACACCCGGTGGCTGTAGCTGGTCAGGACGCCGGACTCGGCCAGCAGCGTCTGCTTCAGCCCGGACACCGAGCTGCGAGAGGGGAGGCCCGGGGGGCGGGGTCAGGGCCGTGGGAGCAGGGGCGGGGGACAGGGAAAAGGCACCCCGAGCCGTGGCATTGGGCGAGCTGCCACCTGGCGGAGGAAGAGTGGAAGCCACCGACCCAGAGAGAGAGTCCGAGGTCAGACACCCAACAGGGATACCCAGACCTGGGAGACGGAGATGCAGACGGGGACTGAGACCCCAAAGGGTCAGAGATTCACATAAAAGGACTCAATGAGGCCCGGCCGGTGTGGCTCAGTGGTTGAGCGTCGACCTATGAACCAGGAGGTCATGGTTTGATTCTGGTCAAGGACATATGCCGGGTTGCAGGCTCGATCCCCAAGTGGGGGAGGCGTGCAGGAGGCAGCGGATCAATGATATTCTCTCATCATTGATGTTTCTATCTCTCCTCCCCTCCTCTCTGAAGTCAATAAAAATATATTAAAAAGATGAAAATGGCCCTCGTTGGTTTGGCTCAGTGGCTAGAGCATCAGCCTGTGGACTGAAGGGTCCTGCGTTTGATTCCTGGTCAAGGGCACATGCACGGGTTGTGGGCTCGATCTCCAGTAGGGGGCGTGCAGGAGGCAGCCGATCAATGATTCTCTCTCATTATTGATGCTTCTATCCCACTCTTCTCCCTTCCTCTCTGAAATCAATAAAAAATATTTTTGAAAAAGATGAAAATGTTTCCTACCTGGTCTTTACTCTTTTTTAATCAAAAATAAAACAACAGACGAGCTGATCTCTCCTCTTTCATACCATCCCATCTGTTTTCTATGTATTACTGCTGTTTTTTTTTTTAAAGAGTAACTTTATTATTTTGTTGTTGTTATTGTTAATGCTCCCCTGAGGATATTTTTCCAATGATTTCTAGGGAGTGTGGAAGGGGAGGGGGAGAGAGAGAGAAACATCGATGTGAGAGAGACACATCGATTGGTTGTCTCCCCCACCCGCCTGACCAGGGCCGGGGAGGTAGCCGGCAACCACGGTATGTGCCCTTGATCTGAATTGAACCGGGGACCCTTCAGTCCCCGGACTTACCCTCTATCCACTGAGCCGAACCGGCTAGGGCCGTTGGTTTGTTCTATGGTCTGTTTTGCCAACTGCCTAGAACAGCGCATGGCACACAGCAGCTGATCAGTATTTGTTTCAGGAATGAATGAATGAATGAATGAATGAAACAAACGACCACCGTTGGTTTTCCATTCAGCACTTCTCCCTTCCAGAAAAGCTGTAATTCATTTGCTTCCTTGTTAATAGCACCGACCCCACTAGCCAACATGGTAGTGGGGGTGCTACAAAAATAACACACACATCCCTGTTTATCTGCGGGCCGGAAAGCCCAATTCATGATTTATTTTTTTTTTTTTAAAAAAAGATTTTTATTCTTTTGCCGCACAAGCGGGGGGAATGATGGACTCCCATCTCCCAGACCATATCAACTTCCTGCTCACGCCCCC